CTTAAAAGGTAGATAAATATGAAAATGCTCGGATTGAAATAAAAATTACAATTTTGATTTTCCTTTGATGTGTCCCTAGTCGGACGGAATCTTTTTGTTTGTTTTAAGTTTATTTTATACAAAAGTTTAGATCTTTTATTTATCGATTGAGGCGCTGCGAAGTCTGCCGTGTCAGCTAGTTTTCGAATAAATATCACATGGAAACTTCTATTTACAAATAATATATTATTTGCACACTTTTATTTTCGACGTAGCAGACCACAAGTAGCTCCCGCAATGCATCTTTTTTAAAATCTCAAATTATTTTTATCTTTTCAGAACATTAAAGCAATGAACACATAATAAACAGTTTATAATGTTAGATAAAACTTATCTTAATATTACGCATAGTTTAGATAAACGGTATAATCATTGAGATTGTTTCCGACGAAGCAGCTCTCAAAATTTAAATTAGGTACAGATTTAATGTAGTGAACAGTTCGTAGCTTTTTAGGAATAATGCAATGTACTATTAGATATGATGTGAGCATCATCGAGTGGTCAGTTTATTTACCTATGTAGTCCTTGGGAAGAGAATAAAGTAACTCTTAAAGCATTATTTATATTTATCGCTTTTAATAAAACGACACAAAATTTACGATATTTAAATATTTTAGCAACATATTTTTTATTATTTCATTTCAGTTTTTAAAACAACGTGACTGAATAATTCAATAATTGACTTGGTCTCTATTCGCTTCGTATATCGCGGCGCAACCTACCTATGTTGAATTAAGTATAAACTATTCGTAATCTGATAGCGTTTACTCCGCTAATTCCATTTGTAAATAGAAGTACATTCACTTATCTAACTGCAATCTCAAATGAACTCATTCGACATTTATTTTGCATCTATTGTTGACACAGTTTATAACATATGTCAGTCAATGCTTTCGTTGTTTTTGTGATAGAATTTTCAAGGTTATAAACATATATATATACGGTTAAATTTCGGTTCTAAGCACATGAATCTAAGATTAAATCGATCTCAGAAATAAATAAACAAAATAATTTTTTAAACATCTATGTTCGCAATTTCAACTTTCATTCCGTATGCAGAGAAACGTATTTTGTATAAAAGTATTGATGATAAGTAGAGGTTAGGTGTTGCAGTATTCAAATTAGCATTTCGACTTGTATCCATTTAGTCGTCAGTGGTTATCGGATAGACATCATATCCGCCATCCAGTTTGAGACATAAGACTTAATTTAAGCTTTATAGTATAATGTCCGCTTCACGGCAGATAGGTTTGTGATATTTACGATATCTCAATGGAATATGATTAAAATGAATGAATATTTAATTCGCGGCGTAGCCAACATTTTTGGGTGACGCCCACTGAGTTTCTCGCCAGATTTTCTCAGTGGGTCGCGATTCCGATCCGGTGGTAGATTCAGNTTTGAGACATAAGACTTAATTTAAGCTTTATAGTATAATGTCCGCTTCACGGCAGATAGGTTTGTGATATTTACGATATCTCAATGGAATATGATTAAAATGAATGAATATTTAATTCGCGGCGTAGCCAACATTTTTGGGTGACGCCCACTGAGTTTCTCGCCAGATTTTCTCAGTGGGTCGCGATTCCGATCCGGTGGTAGATTCAGAGAAGTGCATGTTAAGGCTGCTGCTAGCAAATTCGCTCAGGTTGAGCCCGTGAGCTCAGCTACCCATCGGGGCATGGCTGGAATAGCCTCTTAGGCTACCAGCGAATAGGTACGGAAAAAAGACGATAATGAGATACATTTTATTGAGCTTTCAGAAAAGTAATACTTTAAACCATCTGCAGGTTACATGCACTACATCCGTCTATACGAAATAGGAGCGGTTATTGTATGTATTTTGATTCCCAGAAGCGTGAAACGAGACATACTGAAAATTTTGAATATAACCAAAAGATTCGTTTATCGTACCATCAAACGATACAATGAAGACTCTAGTGTAGATGACAGGTCAAGAAGTGGTCGCCCTCGGTCTGTTAGGACTCCAGCAGTGATAAAAGCTGTGAAGGTGCGAATTCAAAGAAATCCCAAACGTAAGCACAAACTGTTGGCCCTGCAGATGGGGTTAAGCAGAACCACGGTGAAAAGGGTGTTAAATGAAGACTTAGGGCTTCGGGCATATGGAAGAAAAACAGGACATCGTTTGAATGCTCGTCTAATGGACCTGAGACTGAAGAGATGCCGCGCTTTGTTGAAGCGGTACGCGGGAAAAAAATATCGGGAAATTCTTTTTTCGGATGAAAAATTTTTTACCGTAGAAGAGAGCTACAACAAACAAAAAGATAAGGTGTACGCACACAGTAGTGAAGAAGCGAGCAACCGTATTCCGCGTGTCCAACGAGGTCATTTTCCATCCTCGCTCATGGTATGGTTGGAAGTTTCTTATTGGGGCTTAACAGAGGTACATTTTTGTGAGAAAGGTGTAAAAAAGGTGAGAATGCAGTTGTGTATCAAAATTCAGTCCTGACGAACCTTGTGGAACCTGTTTCTCATACCATGTTCAATAACAGGCACTGGGTATTCCAACAAGATTCGGCGCCAGCTCATAGAGCGAAGAGCACACAAGACTGGCTGGCGGCGCGTGAAATCGCCTTCATCCGGCACGAAGACTGGCCCTCCTCCAGTCCAGATTTGAATCCGTTAGATTACAAGATATAGCAACACTTGGAGGAAAAGGCGTGCTCAAAGCCTCATCCCAATTTGGAGTCACTCAAGACATCCTTGATTAAGGCAGCCGCCGATATTGACATGTACCTCGTTCGTGCTGCGATAGACGACTGGCCGCGCAGATTGTAGGCCTGTATTCAAAATCACGGAGGTTATTTTGAATAAACTTTAGTGTCATAAGAATCTATGTTTTGTTAAGTTCATTTTGGTATATGAATGGTTACATAATGAATAAACTTGTTTCAATTATTTTACACTAAACCTGTGACAGAATTTATGACCTGACTAGGTATATATAGATTAGCAGCCCGCACGGATAGGAACCACCATTTTGTATATTTTTGCCGCGAAGCAGTAATCTTATTTTTCGGTGTGAAGGTTGGCATAGATATAATACAATTGAAACGTTGACTCCACGTTCCAAAGTATCGGGATTTACATTGTGATGTTTATGAGAGATCCTGTCACTATTGCACGACTCGAGCACTCACCTTGGTAATATTTTTCTTGTATGAAATTGTTTTTTATCTGATTTCGAATTTTAGATTATCTCTATATTATGTCAAATTGACAGGTAGATGCCAAACATCCCAGAGGACGCAGTCCCACGAGATGGTCGGACCAAATACGATCTTCTCTAAACATCAACTTCAACAATGCCCTTCATGAAGCTAAGGATCGCAGCAGATGGAGGGAAATCGTACGGGAGAAACTGATGCAGCGAGGGAGTCACGACCCTCTGTAATGAGGAAAACGACGCGAGGAGGAGGATGTAAATTTAAGTTTTGCTTAAATTGGAGGTTAAACTTGTGCAATAATAACGGCATAGGTAATATTGATAGTAATGGTAGGTAGCGACTAGGCTCCGCCCCTGGCAATGGTTATTTCCATGAGCGACTGTAACCACTTGCTATCAGGCGGACGGTATGCTCGTTTGCCTACAAGGACAATAAAAATAGCTTAGGATAGTTCCATCATGTTACGTTTTCAAAACGTTTGCACAGATTTAGAACTGTAGAACTTTGGATCGAATTGATATGAATGTTCAGACGCCTGAATATATTCTATGGCTTTTTTTTACCGCGCAAACTTTATCACAATTTTCTATTATTTTATTACCAACTTCGCTGTAATTCCCGAAAATGACAATCAACCAATAATAGTGAAATGATAGTACTCTAAATTCATATTATCGAAGGTCGAATTTGCGAACACGCTGAATATGCGACCAATTGTACACGGCTCAGAATGTTAAGGACACACCACTTTAGTTTTAGTGCAAGCAATAAATTCGAATAAAGGCGCTGACAGGTGGCCCCGGCGCCCGACGAATTAATATAATTGTAGACCAGGCCTCAAATTAATTGCTTTATAGCAACTTTTATACTAAGTCAATGAATGACATTTTCCGCTAAACGTAATTGGATGAATGAAGATTTGAAGAATGAAAATTGTTTAATGAGCTAGTCGATCGGCTGGTTTGTGCAACAAACTAGTGTATAGGCCTAGCAGCTTACGCGGCCATTTTTAGAATTCTCTAGAAGGTAGAAGAACGCTATCGGGCACTATATCAAAATGGTGAAAGGCGTTAGTTAATTTTACAAGATGAAAAATTAATTGTCCAATTTCACTAAATGGGAACTATTAACTGTAAATGGAATAAACAAAAGGAAATAGAATTGTAACTAAATGGATCTCATTTTAAAAGTAATTTGATTTACATTAATCGAGCGATGAGAATACTTCTTCAGTAAAAGTATCAGGCTAACGGTTAATGTGTGATACGATTTTTTGTAGGTATGATTGACTATTAGAAGTATTAAATGAGAATTTTAATGAAAAAGATGGTCTACTTGGGTAGACCATTGTTTGATTTATTAAAGAAGTGAGTTAAGAGCCTACTTTGTGTTAGGTCTTAGCCAAAGTACTAAATTGAAATGTGATTGTCCATTTTGAGACATTAATCTAAAAAAAGTAAGATAGAAAACGACAATAGATTCAGAACAGGACCTAAATAAAATACATTTTTATTGATCAATAATAACTAACTACTTGTTTCGTTTACTATCCGAGACTAATGTGAGATCATTACTGTTAAATATCTAATAAGCAATGTCTAATAGTATCTATGTTTTTGTTTGCATCATTTTCCGTTTCCTGTATAATCTACAGACTCTGTCAATTCAAGAAAAAAGTAATGTTCACTCTGCTAAATGTGTATTAATAAAAAGGAATCCAGTAACATCCAAAATACAGCAACCTCCTGTGACAAACAAATTATCAAAAATTACCTTGCAGGCGAAGAGCGCTTTCTGCCACGTGGCTTCAGTATCACTGAAGAAATAGCAGCTGTGTCCGAGCCGGATAAAAGAAGGCGGACACACGTACGACATCTTTGTGCTATTTCTCTGCGCCTCCACGCCTCGGCCTGTTCAACCAAACAAATGTTTATTTAGCAAGCACACTCTTAAAATATCGAGGTTGTGAGACGTATTTTTATTTTTACTGATGGTAGGACCTTTTTTTTTTTATTGCACAGATGGATGGCTGGATGGTGAGCTGTGAGCTCGCCCAGCTAAGCAATCAAAAAAGAAAAGAAAAGAAGTATACATTTAAGATCCGTGTCAACGAATATTGGTAGACCGCAATTACCTAATTTATACATTGGCATTGATAAGTAGACAACACCTGATGGACCCAGTAGTAAAATGATATCGAAAGCACAAGGCATTGAAAGACAAATTGTCACATTTGCCAGACTGCAATTAATTCAGCTATACTATAATGATTTTATATCTGAAGGTTTTAATTTGTTTGGGTATTAAGTCATAAATGAGGGTTTTTTTGGTACAGTTTCAAATACCAATTAAAATGGACTCCTCACCTGAATGCTTACATATTTTTATAATGTTTAACTCCCTCCTCGCAACGTTACTCTATATTTGCCTGCCAATTTCTATCAAAAACGCATTCCACATATTCTTGATTATAATGGAGATTTGGAGTTTAGTTTAAAATTTAAGTTTATTAGGAATTTAAGTTGAAGTTGTTCGCTTCGCACCGGCGCGGCGGGATTATCATCAAGAACAGTAAACTAAAGCAAGCATCAAGGTCGCAAACTTCGAACGTCGAACACGATTCGCCACTTAAGTCACCACATTTGACAACGACTAAAGTAATTCGGTTGAAAAATCGCCTATTGTATTCTTATCGCGACGATCAGAGTCCGGCAGCCGATCCGATTATTAGCCAAAAACACGAGTGGGTGGTTGTTTATTAGTGTGTCGCGAAATCTGGGCTCTTAATAGATGACGCGATATTGTGTGTGTTGCAATATAGTTGACAGTTTCTTTCAAGGAATTCTGTCTTCTCGTGGGTTCATACCACTAGTCTTTTTTTTATGATTGAAGGATTACTGGTGGCCCGGAGGCCTTTCCAGTTTCACCAGGACAGGTGGGCGAGCAAAGGCTCAGCCAGGAGGGGTGGGATTTGCTAACAGCTTACCCGAGCGCCTCCGAAGGAGACCTAACAGCTCAAGAGTAGCTGCGTCGCGAATGAATCTACTACCGGATCGGAATCGCGACCCGCTGAGAAGATCCGGCGAGAAACTCAGCGAGCTGATTCATGGGTTAGGATACTAGGTTAGGATACTACTACTAGGATAGGACCACTAGTCCTACCAGCGTCTCGTTACCAGCGCCGAGGTTACTGGACTTGAATGGGAGAAAATGGCACAGTATCGCCTAAATGTATATCTGTCGTCTAACATTTCGCCACCTTGATGCTACACGAGGCAGGACATCGTCGCAGTCAAACCAAAATATATTTGCAAAAACTTTATTTTGAATTAACGAGTAAAAACATTTATCTATAAAATTTTATATGAAGGTGAATTTTAAAGAACTATATCAAATGAAAGCTATAGATAAATATTAAAGTTATAGACAAATAACAGTGTTTTTTATACGGTAGATAGGGCTGTGAGCTATACGAAAAAGTCAAATAGTGAAAATCTCAAAAAGTGCACATAGCAGATTTTGGTTTGACAACGACAATATTCTAGTTGTCATCTTTTTGATTGTACCATGATCCTAATTTCTAAAAAAATATCCTAATATTTATTTATAGTTTTTGATCTAAGAATTATGGTCTCTAAATCTATATTAGTTTGATTTTTCTAAAAGTTGACCGATTTTGTGTCTCCGTTGTCGAGTCACATGTTACAGTCTAGACGTAATCGTTCTGTTTGAACATAATTTAGAATATTCATTTTATCTCATCGGACCGTAAACATGTCTTCGTTCAAGGCTAAATGCCAATAACCGGACTGTCTGACATTTTTAAAAATCTTATAGACGTTAATAGAGACAAAATCGTTTTAAATAGGCGCTTATAACTTTATTTCTTTAACAAAAGCTCGTGAATATTTGCGAGACATTAAAATTTGTTTCATAATGGAGTTGTTTATTAGCTTTTTATATTGGTGGCTTGACGGGTTCACAGCTGACGTGGTGATGACTGATTACCGGGGCCCGTGAACATCATGGACGTGTGCGCTAACCTTCATGAGTCACGAGGTCAATTTTAAATCGTATTGTTTTGTGTAACGGTTAACCCTTTATTTTGCAGTAATAATGCACAATACACACTTTATTGGATGCAACTGGTAGATGAAATAACTAGGAAATAGGTTCCGTTTTCGGATACTTTAGAGATTTCGTGGTCACGGATGACGACAAATTAGACATTTCAATGTTGTACTAGCTACCGGCGATTTTTCTTTAATAAAAATTCCAGACTTCATTTCATTTTACACTAAAGGAACTAAATAATAATGTCTTGAGTACTCACAGTTAAATAGACAGTAAAAAAAACCCAAGTTTAAACCGTAAAAGTACTTTTAATTGTGAAACGAAATATTTACTGATTCCAAAAGCGCGGGGAAATTATCGATATTTAAATTTCAGCACATTAATAAATCAGCCGCTATGATTTTCGATGATGCCTTGAAAATAGCTAACTAATTGGTCAAGCTCACGATTTTTGTAACATCTGTGTTTGTCTAACCTCGAGTTATGAAGTTTTCATCTACACGGCCCTTAATATTTAGATAATTCAGATAAACAATACTCACATTGAGACCAGAAGACAATCAGTAAGATGGCGGCTGTTGCAGCCAATCGTCTTCTCTCGGAATCTGCCATATTTCAACGTTCACTTGACCCTACAAACTGACACCGACACTCAGCTGTTCGCACTCACAATTCATATTTTCACTCTATAACACTAATTCAGTAATCAAGACATTTTGTGTTGTAACTGAATGAAGTCGACTGAAAAACCTGAAACAAAGAAAAAACGTGGGTTAGTGATTTAAAAAATTGCAAAAGAGAATAACACTTTTTCACCTTCAAATTTATATAAGAAAACTAGCTGACCCGGCAGACTTCGTAGTGCCTCAATCGATAAATAAAAGACCTAAACTTTTGTGTAAAAAAAACTTAAAACAAACAAAAGGAATCCGTCCGACGGGGGACACATCAAAGGAAAAACAAAATTATCATTTTTATTTAACTACGAGCATTTTAATATTTATCTACCTTTTAAACCTTTTCTGGACTTCCACAAATAATTCAAGACTAAAATTAGCAAAATCGGTCCAGCCGTTCTCGAGTTTTAGCGAGACTAACGAACAGCAATTCATTTTTATATATATATAGATATATAGTTTTTTTTATTTTTTTTATTTTTTATTGCTTAGGTGGGTGGACGAGCTCACAGCCCACCTGGTGTTAAGTGGTTACTGGAGCCCATAGACATCTACAACGTAAATACGCCACCCACCTTGAGATATAAGTTCTAAGGGTCTCAGTATAGTTACAACGGCTGCCCCACCCTTCAAACCGAAACGCATTACTGCTTCACGGCAGAAAAAGGCAGGGTGGTGGTACCTACCCGCGCGGACTCACAAGAGGTCCTACCACCAGATTACCGCTTGTTTGTACTAATATACGATTTGAAGGATATGTTTTACTAATTAGTGATAAATATGTATTAATATGGATATCAGCATCTTTCCTATTCCTTACACAAATCAATCACACGTTCAATCAGTGGTAAAATCTTAAGTCACCCAATGAGTGCTGCACTTCGTGTGATTTAGGGCCAAGTGAGTCTTTCAGTTAGTTCACCATAATTATTTCAATCATATTCTGTTTAATAGTTCATAAATCGTTAACTTGATTATTATTGAAACTATTTCCTTAATTAATCTAAATTCTGCACGGGGTGATCTGCAATGGTCTAAATTATGGTTGCACTAAAACGATTTAACGATCTGGATCTAGATTAATCTTCATTACTAGACTTTCTGACCTAAATTCTGGTCTGAGTGCATTTTCATTATGTCTGTTTGCTTGTGGTTGCGTGGACGTTTGAATGTTGTGTAAATTTCACTTGAACTTTTATACTGAAACTAGTTTAATTTTAAAGCTTGTGCGATCTTTGTTCTATAGAAAAGTAGAACTAGAAATAATAAATCGATAAATCGACAGCAGTTAATTTTTTACGTTAGATGATGAATGTCCGTCCGATGGTTGTTTTTTTATGATTGAAGCAATACTGGTGGCACGGAGGCCTTTCCATTTTCACCACGACAGGTGGGCGAACAGCAAAGGCTCAGCCAGGAGGGGTGGGATTTGCTAACAGCTGCCCGAGCGCCCCCGAAGAAGACCTAACAACTCAAGATCAGCTGCTTCGCCAATGAATCTACTACCGGATCGTAATCGCGACCCGCTGAGAAGATCCGGCGAGAAATTCAGAGAACTGATGCATGGGTTAGGTTGCACGTGGAACTCTTTGTTGAGTTTTACGAGTACGGTTACCGGGGTCCCTAAGCCTGTTCCTAGTGTTAGAGCTGAAGGCGTCTAATGCAAGAGTTATTGGATCTGATGGATCCGTAAGGACGTGTCTAGGGCGACGACGGTGACTTGCTCCTGCGTGACCGATGGTTGTCTGGAAGAGATCGCTTTTAACGTTAAAATCTCTTGTTTTACTTTTGTATTTAATGGATTAGAATTTGTGTTTTTTTTTATATTGGTGTACAATAAAGCATACTATATTCTATTTGTCATTTGCTATTTAAAAAGGTGTCGTAAGATCGTGGGAGGCAGCCAGCCATGCGATAAAATTTCTAACATCTGATATTAAAATAAAAAAATTAACAAGGAACTTACATCGTTCCGGTATTAATTACTGAGCTAACAAGTGCATTTTAAGCCCTAATGATCCTTCTCTTCGTGTAATATAATACTGGAAACCACAGAGTAACTCATGCGTAGAGTTTCATGATGGACGCTTCTAGATGATTCTTAAATGTTTTTGTTTTATTTTACTATGTGAATATTATTAATGCTGTTAAAAATAGAATTCTCTTGAGAATGTTGTGCTCGGGAGGGTGATTGTTACGTCTGCTTTATTTCATTTGTGTATCGGGTTTGATTTTATGAACACATGTAGGAGGCATATTTGTTTGTGTTCCATTGAGATGTAATCGGAACATAACGTCGTTTAATTTTTTTTAATAATTTTTTTTGTTATTAACTTATTGAGCGATTTTTTTATTTTTTTTTATTGCTTAGATGGGTTGACGAGCTCACAGCCCACTTGATGTTAAGTGGTTACTGGAGCCCATAGACATCTGCAACGTAAATGCGCCACCCACCTTGAGATATAAGTACTAAGGTCTCAGTATAGTAACGCATTACCGCTTTACGGTAGAAATAGGCAGGGTGGTGGTACCTACCCGTGCGGACTCATAAGATGTCCTACCATCAGTAAAAAGCGATTGCCTCAAATAGAAAAAATATTCTCACTGGATCTTCTAAGTGAGTCGCGATTCTGATCTGGTGGTAGAATCAGCGAAGAACTAACTGCTCTTGCTAGGGGAAGTGTTAGTCAAAGTCCCTCAAGTTGAGTCTCGTAGCTCACCTACAAATCGCGCCTGGTTGGATTAGCTCATTATTGTTATTATCAACTTGAATTAGGTAGGGAAAAACAAAATTTAAAGTGAGTCAAATCGTGTCTAAAAATTAGTAATACTAAATATACAATTGAGACTTAACAATAAAGACTATATTTAACGGACTATCTCCCTTTTTATTGTTTTAATTGAGTTGTACGTAAATTTCTTGATATTTCAGCACTGTCACAAAAGCCCATTATAAATACTATCTATATATCTCTATATATAAAAATGAATTGCTGTTCGTTAGTCTCGCTAAAACGGCTGGACCGATTTGGCTAATTTTGGTCTTGAATTATTTGTGGAAGTCCAGGGAAGGTTTAAAAGGTAGATAAATATAAAAATGCTCGGAATTAAATAAAAATAATAATTTTGTTTTTCCTTCGATGTGTCCCCGGTCGGACGGAGTCCTTTGGTTTGTTTCAAGTTTATTTTATACAAAAGTTTAGGTCTTTTATTTATCGATTGAGGCACTACGAAGTCTGCCGTGTCAGCTAGTTTATAATAAAGCCTTAATTGCATTGTAAAACTGCTGCTCCACCCTTCAAATGTACGGCTGTTTCGCGGCTGAAAAAGGAAGGATGGTGGTGAGATTTCACAACATACCAATTGTGATGTAATGCCACCATCAATAATTTCACAAAACTATAAATTATTTTTTCTAGTATACGTTTCTATGATATACAAGCATTTTTAGGATCGAAAGATTGTGTTTGACCCGGATGGCGTTATCGTCGTCTAAGTAGTTAGTGAAAAAAGGTCAAGTACACACGTATTCGTCTAAAACATTATCACCTACCAGAAGAGTCGTCGTGGCCTAAAAGATAAGACGTCCGGTGCATTCGTGTTGAAGCACCGGTGTTCGAATCCCGCAGGCGGGTACCAATTTTTCTAATGAAATACGTACTCAACAAATGTTCACGATTGACTTTCACGGTGAAGGAATAACATCGTGTAATAAAAGTGAAACCCGCAAAATTATAATTTGCGTAATTACTGTTGGTAGGTACCTGTTGTGAGTCCGCGCGGGTAGGTACCACCGCCCTGCCTATTTTTGCCGTGAAGCAGTAATGCGTTTCGGTTTGAAGGGTGGGGCAGCCGTTGTAACTATACTGAGACCTTACAACTTATATCTCAAGGTGGGTGGCGCATTTACGTTGTAGATGTCTATGGGCTCCAGTAACCACTTAACACCAGGTGGACTGTGAGCTCGTCCAACCATCTAAGCAATAATAAAAAAAAAAAGATTTGTATGCTATAGCGTCATCGCAAAATTACACAAAAATACCCCGAGGGTCTTTGTTTAGGTCACTGACTGTATCATGTGTCTCTATATATAGTCGTTTGATTATAATTAACAGTAAGCGACGTTACAAAACTAAATACAGTCAAACCTGGATAAGCGAGAGTTTAAGGGAGCACAATCTCATTCTCGCTTATAGAGGTTTCTCACTAACCCGAGTTTCTCGCTAATGCTCTCTCTGAATTTCGATTCGCGATTTTCCGCATTCAAATGCATTCACTATTTTAAGTTTATGACTTTAATGACAGTACTTTAACTTTCTGTTTTTACATGATGCAGAACAGAACTTTCCTTCGCAATTGATTAACGATAAACTGAGTAAGTCCGACAAACAGGACGGTACACAGGCACACGTGTCCATTCGAAAATAATGCAATAAATGAATACGATAAAATAACAACGTTATTTAGTTCCACGAAATAGAATAGGTTCAATATTCACGAGAAAACAATACAAAAACAATGATAGGAAGTTCCACGAAAGTTAAAAATGAGTCATAAAATAGCAGATGTTAAATTTGTAATTTGTTTTGTCATTTGTTCCTCCTAACTAATATAAATAAATAAATAAAGCTCGGCTGTCGCTTATAGAGGTATAGGATAGGTAGCAGTCTCACGGAGGTCCATGAGGAAAAACGACTCTCTCTTACAGAGGTTTCTGTTTCTCGCTAATAGAGGTTTTGGGAGCTTAAAATGACGGGTCCTTGCTATTACTCTCACTTATAGAGTTTTCTTACTTATCCAGTTCTCACTTACCCAGGTTTGACTGTATATAAATGGGCATAAAATCATTACGAATATTTCTAATCCATCACCAATTAAATAATCGTAATATATTTCAACTGCACTCAATTTGTGTTGCCCCTATGCATACATACACAGCGTAGCTTACAATGTTTGTTTATGATATATAAACCAGCTGCAATTATCGGTAGACTATTGAATGCTAAGTGAATATTTTGATTACAGGGATTTTAGTTTTCTGTATGTACAACTTTTGATTTGAAGTCAACATTT